CATTATTATTCTACTCTCTTACAGAGTCTCTTCAAGACATTATAACATGTCTTATGATCTGTTTTCTCTCACTTAAACATCTTCTTCTTCTCTTTCTTCAATCTGTGACAGCACTCACGCGCCTTGATGATCCGCAGGACTGCAGAATATTTGAAGAAGAATGACATAATTAGTTTCAGTAAGTGTTGAAGAGAGATGAAGGCAGAAGAGACAGTCAGAAATGATATGATAATAATGATAATAATGATAATAATAATGATGATAGTGATAATAATAATAATAATAGTGATAGTAATAATGATAATAATAATAATAATAATAATAATAATAAAAGAGAGAGTGCATTGAAATATATTACTGACTTATCAAATATAAAGAGACTCAAAGAAAATATTAACAGCTTTCAGCAATGTACAGAAACAGCTACAGTGTTATATAGTAATATTATCTTCATTTAATACATACACTATTGATATTCTTTATATACAGTTATTATATAATCTGTATCAGAGATACATGCAGAAAATAGATCTTTATTACTAGAATAAATAATTACAGCAATTCTCTGTTTTCATATTATAAAGATAAGTTATTCTCATTTCTTTCTTCTCTCTTTTCTCTTCTTTAATCAATCACTAATTTCAAGCTGATATGAAAACTATTAAAACACTCTCAGAAACTCTCAAATTGAAGAGTATAGACTAATCAAATTTTAAATGCAGAAGAAATTAAATTATCTTCTACAGATTCAATTACTTATTCTCTTTTAAATAAAACAGCAGTTGCATTCTCTTTTTCCTCTCAATCAAATGAAATATGACCTGTGAAAAGCAAGTATCATATCAGGTTATAATAACCAATACAGCCTTAGTATGCAGAGCTGTATATATGCAGTGCATGCTGAACTGAGAGACTGTATAAGTTACAAATCAGCAGCAGTATCTCAGAGAGAGCTGTGCAGTGTGAGAAAGCTGCAACTCTCAATCATATATACAGAGAGTGAATTACTGCAGTAAGTGTATATGCATTGAAGTAATGCTTTTTAATAACACTCAGTCTCTGATATAATGAAAATAGAGTCTCTTCATGAGATCTGTTTCTATCAGAAGTCAGAGAATCTTATATTTCTTAAGATTATCTTTATACATCTTATTCATGAAATTAATGAGAGAAATCATCAATTTCAGTATTCTGTTCTTAATATTATTCAAGTGACAGCAGAGTTCATTCTGATCACACTTTTTAAGTGTATGTTTTCTAATTATTCACATTTATATAGATATATACTGATTATTTATTAGATAATATTAAGATAATAACTCATTACAGCTGTATTACTCTCACTGTAAGAGATACACAGTTAATAATGAATATTATAAAGACTCTGAAGAGTGAGTATTTTAAGAATACTGCAGCTCTGTGATCTTGATTTTTTTTATTTTTATTTTTTATTTTTTTCTTTTTCTTTCTCTTTTTATCTCTTTTTTTCTTTCTCTTCTTTTTTTCTTTCTCTTTTTTTTTTTTTTTTTTTTTATTGTGATTTTTTCTTGTTGTTTTATTTTTTATTTTTTTATTATTTTTTGTATTTTACATTTTTGTTTTTTTAATTAAAATGATATTAATTATAATCTATATTTAGAAAAGTAATGATATTTGATAATACTTTCTATTAAATTTTCAACAAATGAGTACTATGTTATGATATTATATAAGTGAGAAATGATTTTATAATCTCATTTAATATCATTTTCAATAATGAAATCAGAATGAAAATATGACTAAGAATTTAAACATATTCTTTATCTAAGACTAGATTTTTATTTGAAAAGTGAATCTGAGATCTTTAATATTTGAAATAACAGGATTTGAAATCAATGTAATAAACACAAATCATGATCAGAAGTAATACTTTTAGACAATGTAATAACTGTAAAGTTTGATTCTGGTCTCAGACACGGTCACACAGTCAGTCTAATTATTCTTATATATTAACTGCTTATAGATATAACTCTGATGTATAAGCTTACTCATTCTCATGAGATTCACTTCTAACTTCAGAATATAGTGAATATTATTTAACAGTATATTCATTTCTTTCACTGAAATCTTCATATCTTTTATATTATTATTATTATTATTCTTTCATTATACTCATATGCAAGCGGAGCTTATAATGAGTTCTTACATGATGTTAAATACAGGTCAAGTGTTGATTATACAGGAGGAAATACAGGTGTTAAGACCACGCCAAGATAACAAGAACATAGGAAATACAAAGAAGTGACAATTAAATACATGCAATAATAACTTCCCAGCCCAGGAACATAGAGCAATTTTATTGAAGCAATTTGTACATCTCTGTATTTATTAGAAACCTGAGATGCTTGAGTTCCGGATTTAATGTATTCCCTGCGGGTTTCGAACTCACACACCCTGGTTTCTCACATCAAGGTGCTACTGAGTGGCCGCATTAACCATTCAGTCACCAGAGCTCATATCTTTTATAGCTGCAGCAGAGATCACTGTTCTATCTGTCATTTTCAATATTACTTTCACCTTCTGAGATTTTATTACAACAAGATTTCTGTGAGATGTGATATAAGTGTCTGATTCAGAGTCTAGAATTCAGATATCTTTTTCTGTTGAATCACTTATATAGATCTTTTCTTTGATGTAAAATACTTGCTTTATAATGTTATGAATAGAAGTAGTATCTGTATTTTTTATATTCTTATCTTTATTCTTATTTCTATTTGTATTGAAGTTTGAAGAATGTTTCTCAGAGTATTTCTTTCAATAGTCAGTCTGAATATAATCAATCTTTTGATAATAATAGTAGATTCTTACATTATTATCTCTACATTCAGATTTGAATTCAGTGTTCTTATTCTTATTATTGTCTTTCTCTTTGTTCTTGTCTTTCTTATTCTTATCTTATATATTGTTGATAGAATTTCTAGATATATCAGTATTTACTTCATTTACAGCAGAGAGCTGTAAAAGAATATTATAATACAGACTTATAAAATTATTCTCTAAGAATTGAGTATTATCTTTAACAATTTAATCTATTTAATTTCTTATAAATGAGGCTTAATCTCTATTAACTTCTGTAAGCAGTCTGTTGAAAAACATAATATTCAGAATCTTATATTCTAGACAGATATAATTAATTCTTATAATAATTAGATATTTAATAAAAGTATAATCTGAGTCTTTTAACTTAGCAGTCATACTAATCAGTTTCTTAAATAGACAGATTCTGTGAATAGTAGAACTCTTAGAAAAGTTATTCTCTATAATAGTTTATAGAGTATAAGTAGATAACTTGAATTTCTTGAGTATAATAAAATGAGTCTTAGTCTGCAGAGTAATTACAGATTATATATAATTATATAATCAAAGACTGTGTTCTTTTCAGAAATATTATATATTTATAATAACATTCTTATCAAGACTATTATATTTAAGAATATTATCAGTTTCAGACTATTCTACAGTTAAAAGAATTTCCTCTATTTATATTAAGTAGTTAATGAATTCAGTGAGAACTATTAATCTTTTGATAAATCTTACTTAGCTTCTGAATTCTTCAAGAACTTTTATTATAATAAATATCTTCTCTTTTCATTAGAGATATTCTGTCAGATCTACTCTTATCTTATTACTTATAAGAGTCTTATCTCTACTGATCTTTATACACTCAATCTCATACTGAAGTCTTGCAATTTCAAGTCTTATACAAGTCTTCTCACTCACTGAGCTATTATCATTTCAGTCACTTAAGCTCTCTGTATTATCTAGACTGACTGTGTGATTATATCTGAGATCAGAACCAGATTTTTTAATAGTCTTATTATCAATTCAACTGATCTCATTACACAGTTTTAACATTAAATAGTAGTCTCATACTGTCTCAGTGAGACTTACTGTCTACTCTTATCACATTTTTCAAATGAGATTATGATTTTCACTTCTTAATTTAAATTATTTTTATTGCTTTAAATGACTTTAAATCTCATTTAAGTGTTATCAAAAAGTGTTACTTTTTAAAAAATTAAAAATAGTCTAAAAAAAACCTTAAAATGTCTAAAAATAGTAACTTTATGCTAAGAATGAAACTAAATGAGATTAAATAAGATTACTTTCTTATTTTTTTCAAGTCATGATTTCATTTTAAAATCTAATATATAGTCACTTTGCATGTTTTTTTAATAGTCAGTCTTAGTAGAATTCATGCCAAGAAATGTATAAGACTAGATTAAATGAGATTAAATATGAAATTCATAATTCTGATAATCAGTCTAGTATTATCTGACATCTCACTAATATCTTTAACTAAGTCTTTGTATATATTGAACTTATCAGACTGTTTCTCTGTGATGATTTTATTCAGCTTAAATATCTCAGAAGCTGTCTTTCAATTTGTTATTAATATTAATAATAATCTGTGATCTTGCATTTACTACTCTGATATTTTCTTATTTCTTCATCTTGAAGATATGTATTCTTTTGTTAAGTCAGGTATTCTTCTGAATCTTAGATTAATTATAAGTTCAATCAATCATAAAAAAAAAACATCTAGACATATGTAACAATACATGAAGATGTAGTTAACATGTTATTTCAGTGATTTTCATTGCTTAATAAGAGCTTTATAACCTCTTGAAGAATAATGTTGTTATATTATGTTGTAATCGAACTACGCGAGTTACACTAAATGAATAGATTGAAGTGGCACGTGACTAGAGTAGATGTAGTAATTGTAGACTACTGAGGTAAAAGAGCTCAATCACTCAGCGCCTGCTGATAGAAGAGCTGATCAACTGCGGGACTCTCAACAGTAATCATTAACAAGGTCGGGGTCATGATTATATAACAAGGTCAAGTGGCGCACTTAGCAAGGTCAAGTTTTCTGTATACACCCGGAACACCTGGGCCAACACACAGCTGCTCTTATTAAGCACACTTCTATTTTTAGCCTCATTTGACTTCAACGTCCCAGACTAGACTACAACAGCAGCAATATGAGAGTAGTCCTCTATTAGAACTCATCATTTGAGGCCATGTTGCGGTCTTGTAAATAAGCGACTATTGTCCATTTGTTGACACAAAACCGCCTGTTATAACTTACTTGTTCTTGCTGAAGTATCCTTCATACGATCAACCCGCCCTGTCTTCTTTACGATCTCCACCGCAAGCGCTTGCTGAGGCTCAAGCTGCAGGGGGGTACAGCAAAACCGCAAGATCTGTGTTCTTAATTGTTTCGTGCTCACTATTGTTCTCTATTTATATAAGTTAGACCCCTTCATATCTATATGTTCTATGACCGAGTTGCTCACTTTCGTGTAGCAACTCAATAAATTCCTTGCTCAGCAGCTACCAGTTTGTTCAAATGGATTCTTCTTTTCCACATCTGCCGCCCCCGAATGATGACGCTCCAAATGGCCTGTCAAATGGACGTCTTATAGTACAGCAATATGCCAAGAATCCTTCGTCCAACGATCCTGGATTGCAAAACATTTCCCCACCGGCAAACTTTCAAAATCACAGGTTGGATCAAGCAATGTCGCCCTCCACTATTAGACGAGAAACCCCTCGTATTACTCAGTCATCCCCTGGGAATCCCCGCTCGGCAGCAAATCCCAATCCCCAAACTCGTTCTGCGATATCTACGTTCCCCACGTTTTCAGTATCTTCTCGGGACGAGCACCTTGAAACCACAACGTCTGTAGAAACACGTTCATTACCTTCGCCAGACATTACTGACACGACGATTGATGATGCATATGTTTCCTTTATTCTCTATTGTAACCGATGTGTACCCCCCGGAACTAATACCACTGAATTACGGAAGATATTTCGTATGCCGCCACGAAGCGAGGGTAAAAGCTTTTGTATATTTACACTGTGGCAGCTTATTCAAAAGCTTGACCGCAAAGAACTGAAGACATGGATCCAGCTGGCAATTGAACTAGGAGTCGAACCGCCATCAGTTGAGAAGAAACAAAGTACTCAAAAAGTCCAACAGTACGCCGTGCGGCTAAAGGTACGTTAGTCTGCTCTTCACATCTAACTCAGCCACTACCCACTACATAGTCTAACACTGTTCAGCGATGGATGCGTGCTATGCATGTGGATGCCTTTTTTGAATACTGTCTGGGACATGAACATCTATACTATACCCAGCTAACCTCTTCAACCGAGCCCAACGCGGAAAGTCGTGACGGTGTACCGCGAGAAGAAGATCTGGCTCTAAGAGCGCTTTTTCCTGAATGGAAGCCTAAAAAGGGTCGAAAAAGAGCGGAGGCTGTGGAATTGGATGATGCAAAGTCTTCTAAGCGACCTCATCTGAACATACCATCCGTTGGGTTGGAAAGTAGCGGATTGAATTACAACCCGGAAACATTTCCTCACTCAGGATTCCAACAGTCTGCAATCCCTTGGAGCGCCTTTCCAGACCATTTAGAACAGCATGACCCCTTTGGGCCTCATTCTGCCCTCACCGGAACGACTCAGGCAGATAATCCGCTCAATCATCACCCACTTGGCCCTCGGGAAACTGACTCGCGCTGGCGTGTACCGGTGCGAGAAATCTCTCCAGCACTACAATATCCCCAGTCAGCGATTATTCCTCGGTACCGTGATGCATCAGAGATTCCTATGTCAATCGAACCTCGGTCCGCCGTAAGTCCATCCTCGATTGACAGAGTCGGTAGCAGACGACGTCGTGGGCCTGCGATTTCCTCCGCATGGTCCGTCGCTGGCAACCTAAACAATGGTAAGACCAGAGGTCGTCCGGGGGCCAGTCGAATAACCCAAAATGGACCATTTTCAACTTTCTCGGTGCAGCCAAAAGATAAACACACTGAATCGTTACGTACCGATCCAGAACGCACGGAACAGAATCATCAGGGGTTAATCGAAAGGAACAGAACGAATAGTACACTTACCGGAGATAGTGAATCGCCCGCCTTGGCCCCTTCCTTCCAACCCCACAGCAGACCGACCAGACTGCAATTACAAGTGCCTCAGCACTTAGGAGCGCCTGTACGACTAGCTACTCCGCCAACGGTTCTGGTGAGTGGAGAAAACGGAAGATCTTCCGTCACAGCCGGCGAACATGTACGTCAAGATTTGAGCGAAATTGAGAGAAGCCAGCAAATTACTCATAATCGGCCCTTATCTCCTGCATATGGGCAACGGCAATCATCATCCGAAGTGGACTTCACACTCCATGATGTGGTTCAAGCCTTTTCGGTTCACGTACACCAAGGGACGCTTTTAAACCGGGACGTCCCCCTTAGTCGTAAAGAATCGAAAACCATCGCCGAAACGGTGCTTAGACATGTGTTGACTGTGTGCAGCTCCGGCCTCCCGAGCAATGTGAAGAAAATCTACTGCGCAACGTGCCTTGGAGTTGGCTATAAACTAGGGTTGGGAGGCTACCCCCCAGGACAACTTACTATTACAGCATACGCCGACAATACCAATAAGAAACAGCTCGGGACTTCGTCCACATTGGCGTCACCCTGGGCAGGGAGCTACTTGGCCTCTGATCTATTCGGCGGGTTTAAGTATATTCTTAGTTATGGCCTCACCGTTTCAACTGGGCTTACGACACACACGACCATTCCAGGCGGCCAGAATGAGGAGCTACCACTTGCCCCTACAGTAATGACTCTTTTGGCTGATGACTATCAATCGGATGATGATATAATCAATGAACCTGCTACTGAAGCAATATGGAAACAGCGATATTTGAATCTGCTGAAACAACACCGAAAGAAGGACCTGGCTCTTACCAACTACAAGAAGAAGATCCTTGAGGCTGTGATGGAAGGTATATAAACTTGCAGACCTTCTTCTAACGGAACCCGCTATCTACCTGTATATGCCCATTCCGGCTAAATGTCTAATCTATTATTGATATTTGGTGGGTCTACTCACAGACCAACTATCGAGCGAGCCTTATGCTGGTTAAGTTGCTCATTTTACTATATACCCCGATTCGCGTTTCGGTTGTTTTCCTCTTTTCTTTTCATTCTTTTGTCTTCATGAAGATTTTCTCTACATTTTCTACATCGTTATGTACCATTTATGCCAAGGGCTAAATTTGATATATACCCCTTCTTGTTCTAGCAATCTATTCTAGACGTTTGCTTATATGCTTGTGGAGCATTTGTATACCTGCTATATATCCCATGGTCTATACCCGCCGATGAGTTCATCTATATTTGTATCGATGAAATTTTGTTCCTGCTGGGCTTTGCCTTTCTCCGTTGTTTTCTGGATGCGCAAAGTATTATACGCTATTGCTTTGACATGCCTACAATTCCCTTTGGCCGCTGGTCACAATTATACGAAGTGAAAGGATCGGAAGCCTGCATTTTCAAGATATTGGGCAGTTTGGGAATGCACAATTTTGGCATGGTTTTACACCTGTAGTTTAATTCTCCACACGGGCTATGAATCCCTACTTGAGCGTAATTCTATGCCTAAAAACCATCTCTGTCAATTTCCATGAATTATTCCATCCCTTTCACGACGAAATATTTCATTCCCTATTCCGGATTTCCTTTCAACGTGGCTTCCAGTGCAGACCAAAAATACGTCTTCTTTGTTGCTTGTCACCACCAGGTGCTTTCGACATAATCACAGCGCTATGGGAAAGGAACATCACCCCCCCATTTCTCACAATTTGGCCAACCTCTTAGGGGTCTTCTCACAGGCAAAGGTATCCCTTATCCACCAATCGCAGCACATTCATTAACCCCCACTCTATTCCTCGTCGGTCCGTCCAGTATCCCCAAAACCTCCTTCTCGGCACCATTAATATCGTACTCTCTGCTTTCATCCTCAGGGTTCCCATTCTCCCCCAAACCACCTGAAACACGCTGCTTACATGCGGTATTGATGGCACAAAATTGGCTATACAACTCTCGATCCTCTCGGTCCAGATTCCCTCCGACACCTCCGGAACCCTCAGACAAAAGCGGGTCGTTCCCGGATGTCACCATTGCTTTTTCAGTCTCTTCAAAGGTCTTATCACCACTATCCCCCTTTTTGACATGTGCATTGCTATCAGTGCTCTCATGAGTGTAATCAGCACTGCCAACCAACTTTTCACTCTTGGTTTTCTTAGGGGTGCCATTGGCTTGGCCCATGGTCTTGCGCTTGCGGGTGGACGGGGTCTTGGTGCCAGTGGTGCTATTTCCTTTAGTTGGAGTTTTTGGGGTCGACTTTTTGGGGGTGGTTCTATTGAAGTTGGGTTCCTGTGGAGAAGGAGTATCTGGTCCTGCTGCTGGACCGCCGTTCGGGTTGATGCCATTGGCTTTCATTAAGCGCTCGTAGCGCTTGGCTCTGTTAGATGATGGTCAGCGCCATTCCAGGCTAAATTGTGACCGGGCATGCAGGACTGGGTTTGGTGATGTGAGGCTAAATGCGAATCCATGTATCGACAGGGGACGTGCATCGAATAGCATGTCATGGGCACATTTATAATATGACTTCACTGTGCACGTTCTCAAGTATGACTTACGCTGCGCCCTTACTGACGATGTTGCATTCGCGAGCCACCTGATCGAAATCCACCTAATGAATTACCATCATTAGCATGTTCTAACTGTTGCTATGAGGCCGGCAAATAGTGTGTGGTCGTGGAAAGAAACGAAACATATTGAGTAAATTGAGGATTACCTTGCCGTTGCTCGAATACTTGACACATTTCAGCAAGAAGTTAAGCTGCTCATCACTCCCGGCGGGCATTTTCTAGGCTATTGGTTTTCTGGGAAATGATAGAGTGAAGCCTAAAAACGAATAATTGGAGCTCAATTGAGGAGGGATCTGAAGTTTGAGCTCACTGTTCTACAAGAAAGTCAGGGATGAGTGTTAGTTTGCCAAACATGGCTTTGTCAGGGACAGATGTTGGCACCAGAACTGAAAGCATACTGTTGAAAGTTCACTGAGCAACTGTTTCTAATCTGAGCAATAGAACCCAAGAATCTGTTTGCTGAGTACAAGGAGATGTACGAAGATGACTTGATGAGTGCTTTGTTAACAAACCGTGAATGAGAGGAAGACTTAAAAGTGAGAGATATTTAATATCTAGATTCAAGCTTGACCGGCGTGAAGGGATGCTGCATCAAAGAAACCCTTCTTGAGATGTAGAAGAAGATAGAGTACTAGAGTTGTATAATCAACTAAGAGAGGTGCTGACAGCGAACAACCCTGAGAAGTTGAAAAATAGGCAAAAATAACAACACTTCAGGTTCATTGGTGGCATTCATTCACCCATCCAGAACATGATGGACGAACACATAGAGTAAATTTTATAAAGGAAGACTAGACATTTGATAATCCCTCTACCAAATAATTTGCAGTAGATTAAACTTTTTGCACCAGATTAGTTGTCGAGGGGATCTAGAATGGTGGCTATCAGCCGGGGCAGAACAGTAGTTCATCCCGAATTTAGATGATCTTTTATGGATTCCATTATGTCAAGAACGCATGTTTAGTACGCAAAGTCTTGTACTCTGAGAGCTACCCTAGCCACATAATCACCCGCCGCCCTCGTTGAGAAACTTCCGTGTATGAAAAAAGGATTGTAGAAGTATGAGATAACCCAGCCACTGCGAAGTCGGGGAGTAAAACATCAAGGTACAACATGAACTCGATAAAATGATCAGCACTTGAATAGGAGCAACCGATATCGAAGAAATGTATGGGCCAAGTAGGAAACAACGAACAAAGAAGAAAACGACCAGAGGAATGTCGAAGCCGCCCACCACTTCGCATAACCACTAAATGAAGGAAGAGCTCAAGGAACATAACGACAAAGATCCCTTTCCCCACGAAACCTAGTATCAGTGATGGGCCATGAATATACTGTACGTGATCTTGTTATCCATGACGCTTGTGAGAGAAGACCTGGTCAGCGTAAGTTATGCAGCCGTAAAAGTGAGGGCGATATGGTATACAAACTTTGCAACATGGTATTATCAGATCAGCCTTTGAGCTCAAGCAGTGGCCTCCATGGCGGTACTATTCGCTTCATTGTTGTCACCACTGGTGGCGGGTTTCACCGGTTTATCCTCTTCAAGGGCAGCAGCCTTTGGTTTACGCCCACGCTTTGCCCCAGGCTTTCTCCCTGGCTTCATCTTTTCTCCCTTGACATCTTCACCCCCCTCCTCAGAAGGTTCCTTCTTGGCTTTGATGGGCCCCGTAGATGTCTTTGCCCCCTTGCGAGGCGTAGTTGCACCCCCATTGGCAGAATTCGTGGAGCAGGTCAAGTGTTGTTGCAAATTGAATTGCTTTCGGATCTCACGGATGCGGTTTGCAACGGAGATGGGGTTTTTATATTTAAGTGCTTTCGCTACCGCGCTGACATCGATCTAAGAACATATTGAGTACATCTGAAGAGAACCCGCGGATTAGGTGATCTGGCATGGTAAGGGGGACACACCCTAGCGGGAGTCTGAAGGTGCTTCAAGCACTCCATGATAAAAATAGCGTCAGTTTCTTTCTTCTTGGAATCCGCAACATCACCTGGGCCGTTGTTCGCATCCGCCATGCTGGGAGGGACCGGCGTTGAGCGCAATAATTGGTTGGGAGGAAGATGGTATGGGATGGTAACTAATGGCTTCCAAGGGACTAGCGTTAAGTGAGCAGAGGATGGAGGTTAGCAGGTATGATAGTAAAGAGCAAATGACAAGTTATTTGTAGAGGTGAGAGAAAAGGAAACGAAGGTGAGCATACTAAAAGAGAAGTTGAGAGCTCATTTCTAACTGAACAAAATATCCACAAAGCAAAATAACTACAAATGGAACTGAGGGGAACACTTCAATGTGTTGTTGCTGATAGTGAAGCGAACACCCTCCTTCAGCATCAATGAGTGAAAAGATGTCTTAGGTCAACACGCCCTGAATATTCTGACTTGAGCAATTAGAAGTACTGTACCATGGGCTCTATCGAATTTTGAAACATTTTGCAAATTAGTAAGATAGCGAATGGGTGTTTAGCGCTTCAGGGGTATAAGAGATAGACTGCTTTATGATGTGTACACTTTCGGACTGGATGCTGAGAGAGGATCAAAAAATAGATTGTCATCCGAAGTCGAAGCCAGGTTACCCAGCAGTTTTACGTACAGTACTAATAACCTCCCGACTTGCCACGGTGAGCTTACAGTCGACTCGATTCGGAAGACGCTGAGTACTTATCCCTCCTTACAAGAGACAGGGGGAAAAAAGAAAGGAAAAGCAAGGTAAAACAAGGAACGAAGGCGTACTGGTCAGAGACAAAATCTAAAAGAAATTTGCCCCATGTTCAAAAGGCCAAATGCCAAGGAGGGCAGGCTGGAGGATAAATTGGAAGTCTGCAGGGCGTGTTTGAGTGTCCGAGGCGAGGATGCGCGCTTGGCAATACAACAGGGAAATAAAATGCCAGTCGATACAACGAAGGGAGAAGGGAGAGGAGCTCCTGCAGCATAGAACCACATGCGCAATTTTGACATCACCTGGTTTCTATCTCCCACAATCCCCGAGTAAACGCACACGACCATAACCATCCTGTCTCCATTGCCCCAAGGATGCACTAGCTATCCGCACATAGCACCACTGTTTGCCACGGCCTTATTCCTGTTTCACAAATCCATTAAGTAGGGTGTGTGTCGCGTCCTCACACTTTTCCATATTGATTCGGCTCCAGTCTCTGACTGCTGATGGTGGGCTTTGAAACCTGATCGGTGGGTTACTGGCCGCAAAGGGGAGGGCGAGATCGGCCGGCGCAACCGTTGTCACAAAGTAGGGCAATTGTTCTGAGGGGGACGACGTCGCAATAATGTCCATTGGCAAGACCTTCGCGTGGGCTGGCTGAGCAGCCATGTCTGGTTCTGGTCCTAGTTCTTGTTTAACTGCCTGCTCCGTTTTTACGGTGGCTTCTATTTTGGCCTTGCTAAATTGTTGCTCTTTTCTCAATTGCGCTTTGTCGGATTTGTGTTTCTTGGGGCGCGGAGTGCGGTGAGTTGTGGTGATTCCTTCCATATGTTGGCGAAACCTAGAAAATCGCATTCGTGCTGCATGGCCGTTTGAAATTTCTAGTTGGGATGCCACGAGGTTCCAGTCGATCTGGCACACGATGTCAGGCAATCTGCTTGTAATTGCTTGTAATTGGAGATAGGAGTGAGGGCCGAACAAAGGGCCGAATAAACAGCATGCTTACCGATTTGAGATCGAGCTGCTTCAAGATTGTGTAGAGGAATTTGGCTGTGTGCCCATCCGCTGGCATCGTTTTGCTTCGCTTGAGGCTGGCCATGGTGCCGACTGAATGTAGCTGAATAGATGGCTGGAGACCGGGTGAATAATGGTCACAATTGATCGTTTGTCGCGTGGAACGGAATTTGAGATGCAAGTGTTGAATTTTCGTCGAATCCCAAACGTGCAAATCACTGTGATTAAGGTAAAAAGGGAATGAAGAGGATAGTCCACGGACAAAGTAGGAAGAGAATAGAGATGCTTCCAAGAACTAATTCAATCCTAGACATTCTTAATGACTTGTGTTCATTCAGTGAATGCAACAAAGACAGGTTCATAATTGCGAACAACCTTCGGCTGCCCGCTGTACTCATTAGACACTAGTACTGCAATATGCAAGGAAGACACTGAAATTTCAGACAACCACAGACGTAGGTGTAAGTATAATCCGGGCACCTTCCCTCACTTGCGGGAGAACAGCTGATTGGATAATACAAATCTGGATTTCTGCACGTTCTGTGACAAGCTAGATATTTGCATTGAACACATCAGAGAACCCAAAGCCTCGTGAAAGCGCGCAGACCGCATCATAATAATTCCAGTGTAGACATGGATATCATCCTAGAGATTTGGTAAAAAGCTAATGATATGAGTATTGTAAGATGTTATGGAATTTGGAACTAGCGCAGACTGACTGACCATCGGCCTCGAGGTATCAATGATAACTTCGAACCGCCTAGTACCAATTCCACAACCTCAACAAAATTTTGCGCTTATGGAAATTTGGGTAGTTTCACAACCTCTTAGCATCGCGTCATGACTTTGGAGGCGATGTTCGCTTGTCAAAGTTGAGCATCACGGACGCAAGGTTGGTAGCTACAACATTTTCCACTTCGTCCATTCTCGATGTTAAAGCCTTCTCAAGTTCGTCAGCCTTCGACCGCACGCTTCCAATTTCATCGATCCTGGACCTAAGAGAACTGATTTCCTGCGTCATTTGATCTCTTTCCGCAGTCATGTCGTTGATTAACGCTCTTCGTGCACTTTCTGCGGTACTAATATCGTTACGTACGGAGTTGAGCTCGGATGCCAGTTTGTTTGTTTTCTCGTGGATATTTGGAATCTCCTGCTGCACAGTGCTAGCATGCGGGTACATTTCCTGCATCGCTACCACCATCTGCCGAACAATTGGCTCAGTGGACAGATGGTTATAGCGTGTTTCAAGCGAATGGAGGGCTATTTGATGTGCCTCTACCACGCGTGACTGGTTCTCAACACGCTGGAGTCGACTGTCCACCTGTTGATTTAACCCGTTTATTGCTTGCCATAACCGTTCGAGTTCGGCGTTTACATGAGGCGTCCCAATACCCAATGCTTGACTGCTCGTTTCGTTTTGTGCACCCATTTGCTTTAATTTGCTTACTACCTCTTCTAAGCGAGCAATTCTCGATTCATATTTATCAAGTTCATCTGCTATGGCTTCATCCTTGGCATCTTGAATTTGCCGAAGGTTCTGAATCTGATTCCTCACCTCGACAGAGGCACTGACCGCAGGGGCTCCATTTGTGATTCGTTCGAAGTGGGATCGCATCAGAGACTCTTTTTTTTCACTTAACTCCTTGCATGTCTTCCCGTACTCTATAACCATGCGATCAAGGTTGTCAAGGCGTTTAGAAAAATCTTCCTCGTGAGCTTTTGTAGTCAGCTCTGCCGATTTGCGTTCATCCCTAAGTAATTTCAAATGGGAGTCTGTTTGCTGTTGCTGCAGGTCCCTTAGTTCAATGGACTTGGCTTGATTCGTAACCATAGATTCGATGGCATTCCAGTGATCCTGTCTGGTGGATAGTTCCGATCTGAGGTTGGTTAGCTCCGTCTCTACCGAGCTCTTCGACCGTTTAATGTAGGCGATTTTGTCTTCATTACTTTGAGCCGAGCGTTTCAGAGAATCTAGAGTCGCTGTAATGCTGACTTGTATATCCCTGAGACGCCGCATCTCAGCCCTTGTCTCCTGGAGATCCCTTTTCATATGTTCCAGGTCAAGCTGACTTGGAGGCTCTTGAGGCCGGCAGTTGAAATTGGCGGCTAGTTCTTTGATAAGTTCCGCTTGCATTGTCCGCTGAACATGAAGCTTTTCATCAACTCTAGCAAGCTCATTATCAAGCTCCTCTTTGCCTGCTTTCAGGCGTTTTGCAACCGATGGATATTGAAAAGTACGATCAGTCGCCTTGCGTAGGTCAGTTGACTCGGCTTGTGACCGCTTTATGAGTCTTGCTCGCTCTCCAGAGAGAGTCGCGATGGATGCTACATGCGAGGCAAATTCTTCAAGCGCGCGGACAGGATCAAACGTCAATGGGTCGGTCGACTTGCGCGGATCCCTGGACGGCGCATCCTGATTGGGTTCACCACAGGGATTGTCCATCGAGTTATACGGCGAAAGTATTGTGCTCGCTTGAGCTCAAAGAGAAAATGGCAAGGAACTGTACAAGATCCTGTTAATTAAGCAACTAGTGCCATCAAACTGTGCAATAATATCTATAAAAGTCACTCACTTTGACAACAGCACGTTGGGGTACCTAGGAGCTTAACTGGTAAACTACTTGAAAAGAAATGAGAGCGCCAGAGAAAACAGAGGACCTCGATTTAGGCGCGCCGATTAACTTCGCTCATACCCGCGTAATAATGAAAGTCGATATATTTTCTCCAGCGCGGAAACAGCTCGCCGGAAATCCTCAAGCTCGCGACTGTCAACAAACAATTAACTATTGTAAGTTCCCGAGCGCAAATTCAAAGGAAACGGGTCGTTTTTTTGTTCCCAGGCCAGGCACGGGTTAATATTGGTCCGTTGCCCGCGCTGTGGCTGGTTCCTTGCCAAGGCTGAACTTAGCTCCCGTTGTTTGATGCAGCTCGTTCATATTCGACAGAAGAATCTAACATCCTCACTAACTACCCCCGGTAGGCGAGATATATCCGACTTTTGAACATAATACTACAGACGAATATCCTGCAAATACTGGGTTAATTGAGTGGTTTTTCTACGCTCCTTCGCCTATCATGGCTGCAGTAAGTTCTCTCAGTTATCAAATCCATCCACTTAGAAACCACTGGCAGCTCATCGTCTTTCATAGGCTATATCTACCATCGCGGAAAGCAAGGAAGTCAGAGGTTTCAACTTGGTTGCAGCACACTCCCATATTAGAGGCCTTGGCGTTGACGCAGACACGCTCGAGCCCCGACATTCCTCACAAGGCCTAGTGGGTCAAGAGAAGGCGCGGAAGGCGGCTGCAGTCATTCTGCAGATGGTAAAGGATGGAAAGATTGCAGGGCGCGCGGTGTTAATCTCCGGCCCCCCTAGCACCGGAAAGACTGCAATCGCTATGGGTATGGCACAATCTCTCGGGCCAGATGTCCCTTTTACCATGGTTGCGTCGTCAGAGATCTTCTCACTAGAAATGTCAAAGACGGAAGCACTTACACAGGCATTCCGCAAATCTATCGGCGTCAGAATAAAGGAGGAAAGTGAGATAATAGAGGGCGAAGTTGTTGAAATCCAGATCGATCGGACTTTGACTGGCGTACGTCCCTTCTCGCGGCACCATGGCCCCATTTTTGGGAGCTACAGCTAACTTTTGTTTACATAGGGCAACAAACAAGGCAAACTCACGATAAAAACCACGGATATGGAGACTATCTACGATATGGGCACAAAAATGATCGATTCCATGACAAAGGAGCGTGTTGTGGCTGGGGATGTGATTTCAATTGATAAAGCTTCTGGCAAGATAACCAAACTTGGGCGCTCATACGCCCGCTCTCGAGACTACGATGCGATGGGAGCGGATACAAAGTTTGTCCAATGCCCGGACGGAGAGTTGCAAGTCCGAAAGGAAATAGTGCACACAGTCAGTCTCCATGAGATTGACGTCATAAATTCAAGAACGCAAGGCTTTTTAGCACTGTTTTCAGGAGACACTGGCGAAATTCGTAGTGAAGTGAGAGATCAAATCAATACAAAAGTTGGAGAATGGAAAGAAGAAGGCAAGGCGGAAATCATACCCGGCGTGTTGTTCATCGACGAAGTCCACATGCTTGATATTGAGTGTTTTTCCTACATCAACCGAGCGCTAGAAGCCGAGTTGGCACCCATTGTGATCATGGCGAGCAATCGTGGAAATACAAGAATACGCGGCACCTCGTATAGGTCCCCTCATGGGTTACCTCTGGACTTCCTCGACAGGGTCGTCATCGTTAGCACTCAACCATACACCAAGGAGGATATCCAGCAAATATTAGCTATCCGTGCCCAAGAGGAAGAGATTGATCTGACCCCTGATGCACTTGCCCTGTTGACGAAAATTGGCCAGGAATCTGGCTTGAGATATGCCAGCAACATCATCGCCACGTCTACCTTACTAAGTCAGAAGCGCAAATCCAAAGAGGTCGGTCTGGAAGATGTACAGCGAAGTTTTCATCTTTTCCTTGACCCACTTCGAAGTGTCAAGTTTGTGAATGAGTTTGAGAAGCGGCTTATTGGTGAAGAAGGCAATGTTACCTTCTCCTATCCCAATGGTGATGCCATGGAAATTTCTTAAGGACTAGACTCTTATAACGATTTGTTCTCATTGCGATTTATGGTTGACTTTGGGATTGCGGGCTGCGAGAAGCAAAAAACTCCTTTGTATAGTAAGGTGGCGCAGTGCAACCTACTTCCGAAAGGCGGGATAAAATCATTCAGTTGTGGATGCTAAGTCATGCTGGGTAAATTCAACTCCGATTACTATACACACAAGGCTTATCTTGTCAAATCGTTAATATAATAGTACAATTTTGAAATGGAATTGATATAAGCCAGGCTATCATGTGAAACTTGCGACAGAGCTCCATTCTCCAGCCGTGTCAACTTTCCGAAATTCAACACCTTCACCAAAGTATCCTGCCGCATACCATGATTCCATCATTGCCCCATCATATGGACCATGAGCCTCGCCTCCATCGCGGGAATCGGACCAGCGATATTCCCACAATGGCGGAGCATCCGTCACTATTTTTGATTCCGAAATAGCGCCTTTTGCGAGCGTCTGGTCTCCCCAATCCACCCCTGTTTCTCGCTTGTATTGCCGCAACAATAGCTCACGTTCCGCATCGTATATTTCAGACTGACCACGACTGAGCAGGATGTCTGCAGCTCCAGTAATATCTTCGATCACACGCTTGCGGGCTGTTTCATCTTGGTTGTCTTCGCCCATTTCCTCATCTTCCGTGCCGTTCTTGTTACTCCGCTGTCGGTTTTTATTTTTATTCCGCCACTTCGGCTTGTTTTTGACACTTTTCCCCAGTCTTGCGAGTGACTCTAGGATAGTCTCTCCCCGCTCCATATTTTTGATTAAGGTGTCCAAGATATCCGCTGTGCGGATGCTGTCCTGCTGAAGCTGAATCTTTCGTCGTTCCTCTTCCCTCTTCTCCGCAGCCTCCCTAGCTTTTCGCATGTCTTTTCTCGAAACCCCTTCCAGCCAAGAATCGTGAATCGCGTCTGGATCTGTGGCTTTGCGAACAAAGTTTCCGGCCTCGTCAAAGCGCCCTTCCTCCTGCTCCGCGCGCATATTGAAAGCATCTAATAGCGGAACGTGCGTCTTCTTTCCCCCAGCTCCAAGTTCTTTGTCCACATCTGGACCGACCCTCGCTCTCTCTCGTTCGTCGACATCGCTCTCACTATCTTCTTCCTCGGCTCGCGCCACTTGTTTCCCTTTACCGCCGCCATGTAGATCCAGAGTAACCGTGCCTCCAGCACGAGAATCATAAACCTGTCCCTCAATCTCATCATCCTGTAGAAACCGAACTTGCTTCTTTTTACCCGGAGGTGTAGCGTCGTCTGCGTCATCAGCGGCAAAATCGTCTTCCAACTCTGCGAACATATCATCTGTGTCTCTGGGGGAATTTTTCACATTAGCTCTAGCTTTAGCTTCTATGCGCGCATCAAACCCCTCATTTTCGCTGTCAGAATCGTAGCCCTCGATGTTGACTGCGTTTCGCCGCACTCGCCGTCCTCGATGACCAATTTCGTCAGCGTCCAGCACCGCGTCCTCCTCCAAGGCGTCTGGAGCTAAAGCGGATGGATTTCGGACATCAAATCGAACTCTTTTGGATGAAGTAGGCCCGTTCGTATCGGAATCTGTGTCATTATGGTGTATGCGAGCAAAGTCTTCTCCAGTGCGCTTTGGTCTACCAGGAATCGATGCTGCCATTGCGGGCGTTGCCAGTCGAATAACCAATAGAAGTAGGAATGAAGGTAAAATTCGTGGCTCGGGGCGTCAAAAGACTAGGCCAGCCACGCTTTGTGGCCCAATATAATGGATATTATTCTAGACATCTGACGATAGGGACCTTCCCGTGCTTCCAAGTACATACACGTTTCCAGACCTCTGTAATGACGGGGGGTGGTGGCTGCCGGCCGGAATATCGTACTTCCGCTGGCGGTCCGCTCTTGCGTGAAGCTCCCGTGCTTAGTCAGTCAGAGCTGCCTTCTTGTATAACGTCGTCGACGCCAACCGAATGACTGCAAATTCCTGCCGGTATTTTGAACGAGATCCTCTTCTATCTATGTTAAAATTTTATTATATTCATTCTCCTGCTATTCGATATCCTTCGGGTTGAACGACTATCCAGCTTACTGATTTCAGCTGCAGCCTTCCTTGCCCTAAGGCTGTGTCCCCAGCCAACGTATGAAAATACAGCTATTCCTGTTCATCTGCCGTTAACGGGCCGCCGATACTTGTCTTAGCATCTATGGTAGGCTTTTTGTCTCGCGTATCTAAAACCAGCTTACGTCCCCAAGGAGCTAACTTCCAACCCCAACAGTTTCCAGGGAGCTTTTACTCGGGGGAGGATCCCATGGACGGAGTCCTACACCCGTCTATGATGCGACATCCAGGACACACGTCCAGGAGGTTTGACGAATTTTATAGATGCTATCCTGTAGCCATGCTCCCTGGTCCAGAACGAGAAAACGTCAACCACGGTGGAAAGGTTATCATGCCACCAAGTGCCCTAGACAAGCTCACACGGCTTCACATCACATATCCTATGCTATTCGAGCTTCATAATCGAGTGAGAGACCGGACTACACATGCCGGAGTTCTGGAGTTCATTGCTGAAGAAGGAAAGATCTATCTGCCGTTTTGGGTATGCTCTGCGTATGCCCGATTGAACTTTTAGGAAGGTAAATACGGAATGTTGTGCAGCTTGCTAATTACGTACTCTTCAAATTGCTAGATTATGCAAACACTACTCCTTGAACCCGGAGATCTCCTGCAAATAAAGTCAACAGACCTTCCACCAGGCCAATATATAAAACTACAAGCGCAATCAACGTCGTTCCTCGATATTAGTGACCCCAAAGCCGTTCTAGAAAATGCCTTCCGCAATTTCTCTTGCCTTTCCAAAGGGGACATCTTCACATTCTCGTATAATGAGCAAATATATGAAATGGCGGTACTCGAAACGAAACCACAACACTCAAAGAGTGCCATATCAGTTTTGGAAACTGATCTCGAAGTAGATTTTGCAACGCCTATCGGATACGAAGAACCGAAACGAGTCAGTGGCACCAGCACACCGCAGAGTGCAGTTGGTAGCGGTCTTCCGGCTGGCGGCATGCTGCATTCTCAGGGCACAATGGCGCAGGCAATAAATTATTCCGCCATTGCCCCTGAGTCAATGGATGCAGCGAAGGGAGAAAAGGCTGTATCTTCCAACTTCCTTCTCGGGGGGCAACGACTAAATTCTAAGAAGGGCAGCAAAGGGCCAACTCCAAAAGCATCCACTCCAGTGTCAGGCACATCTTCTAATGCTCCACAACTCCCGCTGCCGAATCCAAAGACCAACGGGCCCCAACCACTCCGCTTACAGTCAGGTAAGCTGTTTTTTGGATATGCTCTCAAACCGGTGAAGAAGCGAGTCGACAAGGAGCAAATAGGGGATGCCCAGCCGAAATATAAGGGGGTCGGTCAAACCTTGCGTGGAGGTCCCAAAAAAAGAGGAGCTGGTGCTGAAGGAACAACTACTCCTGCGTCTGGCAGCGATAATGAGAGCAAGGGACAACCGAGTAACGATCATAAAGGACGGGGCCCTGGTCGAACGCTTGGGTCAAGTAGATCCAACAATCAGATATAGTTGGCTTTCTTGTTTATTTAACACGGCTACGCGAGGTAATGGACCAAAAACGAGTTTTATTATTTTTCTTTTATGAAGAGTTGTAGTTATTGGAAATGGAAATGCTTGGAACCGGTTCGAGATTCCCGCAGTCAATCAGCCCGTAGTTAAATGTAACTGTCTGACCGAATGATTCAGATGGATTCATTGGTGGATGTTCCTATTTAAACCCTGTGCCACCTCGCATGATAATTGTTATTTTAAATGCCTAGTGGAATATACATATATTCACGGATAATGTTGTTATAACTTACCCGGTGATGAGGGTTCTACAAGATTAGTTCCTGTTTACTCATAGCCACTATCGAAGGCATATAGAACCCTCCCTAGAATGGTAACCTCTGGTTTACACCGAGGGGTTCTCGGAGTGGGGTGTGTTATATCAGATGAGAATCGAACCTTGTACTAGTTCTGCCATTCTTTAAATACCCATCCCAAGACCTCTTCCTCCATCATGATCCTTCTTGGGTTGTTCTTTCTCCTCTCCTCTCTATTTTTTGTTTTCGTGTTATGCTAATTGGCTACAGCTGCTCTTGCTTCAATTCTTCCTGTGATACTTCATGGAATTCTAGTGGTCATAAAGAAGGCGCTGGTGCAAATCTCATATATTTATATAAATAATTAGCACATAACATAAACTTCTTACACTGCATACTATACTTGAGAATACTATGTAAGCGCCTTGTTGGTCTCAAATCTCATCCTCTACTCTGTACAGATTCATAGAGAGAGAAACATTCAACAGAATTTTGCAATTCTCAAATGCAGCAATTTCACTTCAAAACCTTCTGACTTAACTATAGAACAGACATCAACCGCTCCACCACGAACTCGCTCAATTTTTCGAATAAGAACCCGCCGATAGATCCATTGAAAAGCCCCTGATCATACGAGCATTTTGACCCCATCGCTGACCGCATACCCCGTGTGGTGGTGGAGTTATCCAGCCAAACATGAACCAGATGTTGTTTGAAACTCCTGTGCCTGTTCACTCCTACCACACCACAACCCCAGGTCAAATTGCCATACAAATTGTAAGGTGAAGAGACCTAGTCATATGTATCAATCTTCTTGATTTTGCAAGATTCTCAATCTGTAATTGTGGAGATATCTGAAGAGCAATCTCCATGAAAACCCTGTCTATCTTTGATGTTCCAAAACATCAATGCCAAGTCTCACACATGTACCACTCTTTCCAATCTGGCCCATCTCCAGCAGAAAGATACAAAAAGATACCTCAGCAATAGTATTAAGCACATAATCAATGAATACATCTGAAGTGCAATCTCTGTGAAAACCCTGTCTGTCTTTGATGTTTCAAGATATCAATGTCAAGTATCACTCATATATCACTCTTCTCAATCTGGCTCATCTAGACTGACCGTGTGACCGTGTCTGAGACCAGGATCAGATTTTTTGATAGTCTCATTATCAATTCAACTGATCTCATTACACAGTTTTAACATTAGATAGTAGTCTCATACTGTCTCAGTGAGACTTACTGTCTACTCTTGTCACATTTTCCAAATGAGATCATGATTTTCACTTCTCAATTTAAATTATTTTTATTGCTTTAAATGACTTTAAATCTCATTTAAGTGTTATCAAAAAGCATTACTTTTTAAAAAATTAAAAATAGTCTAAAAAAAACCTTAAAATGTCTAAAAATAGTAACTTTATGTCAAGAATGAAACTAAATGAAATCAAATGAGATCACTTTCTCATTTTTTTCAAGTCATGATCTCATTTTAAAATCTGATATATAGTCACTTTGCATGCTTTTTTGATAGTCAGTCCCAGCGGGATTCATATTAAGAAATGTATGAGATCAGATCAAATAGAATCAAACATGAAATTCATGATTCTAGCGGCCAGTCTAGACTCATCTTTAGCAGAAAGATATAAAAAGATATCTCAGTAATAGTAACTTATTTAATACATAATCAGCAGATAACTAATGTGATTAATCATTTAACACCTGCTTGCACTCAACACCTGTCATTTCACTATCATAATAATGAAATATTTTCATTAATATCTTAATAACACAATTAGATTTTAAGATGATATATTATATAATAAAAATATATATAGAAAATTATACATAAAAATATACAGTTAATTCTATAGATGTTTATTAAGCTTAATAACTCACTCAGAATATGAAATCTTAAATAAAGACAGATTCAGTGAGTAAGCAGTTATTAAATCAGTAAAGATTGTAATATTATCAGATTTCTTTAACAGTGAATTTATAAGTATTCACTGTTAAAGAAATTGTGATTTAATTACTCTTTATAAAATCAAGAATCTACTTTTCTAATTAAAAAGATAATTTTTGAATTCTTTAATCTTTTTCTTATTTCACTGTAATTACTACTGTATAGCAGCTCATTCTTTCTTCTTTTTTTACTTTTAAGTCTTTTTTATATCTCTAAGCTTCTTTTTAATCTGCTGTTGAGCAGCTGTTACAGTCTTATTTATATCTTTTTACTACTTTACTATCTGATAAGCTGTCTTTCACTTCATTCTCTTCTTCATAATATCTGTCTTCTTCTATTTCTTAAGAATAGTGTGTTATAACTTGATATTTTTTTATAAGTCTACTCATTCTTTTTAACAGCTTCAGAGATGATTATTTTCTTATATATAATCTACATCTTTACTGAGGAAAAGAACTGTATTAATAATAAATTTAAAGAATCTAGCAACTTTATTACTCTGTTATACTTGTAATATCTTTTCTCTTAATTAAGAGCTTACTATATGTGGCGGGCTGCGCCCGATCAATTAAATAGACTATTTCATTACACTTCACAGATTTCAACTGCTTCATTCTCAAATATATACACTCTGATTCTGTGATTCAAAGGTTGCTTAAGCCAGCGTACGATTACAGGCGTACGCCGGCTTCCTATATATTGTAATATTATACACTAAATTAATTAGTGACTGCTATGACTCTCTTTACATTTGTATACTAGTTCAGAAGCAGCTGTGTTATTATCTGATAGTTATATATTCTTCTGAATTACATTCTCTCTCATCAGATTCAGTCACACTCATGTGATCATGTCATACACTCTAGCTTCATGTGAATTAGCTCATTACTAGTGTTTCACAATTGTGTAATCTATTTCTGATTCAGCTAGTATTCTGTATATATTCTTACAAAGAAACTTTCACTATATTACATCACTCATTCACTAACTTTTCTTATTCTTCAATTATCTTCTTCATCATCATTATCATT